ACAAAATAAACGCACCACCCTTAAATTTTAATATATGTGTGTTTATTCATATTTTGCATACCAAAAATAGGATTAAACTTTTTAAACATTTTTTTACATACTCACCCTACCTTTATCATTTCTAAAAAAAGGTTTGGTTGTAAAAATAAGACATATAAAAAGAAAATATTTACTACCTAACCCTAAAAAATATTGATTAAAAAGTTCAAAAACAATTAAAAACGTAGTATTTCCACCTTTGGCACAAATCTCGTCCGCATGGCTTTGCATTCTGTGGCAATTATTAGGTTTCGTGGTCCGCTTGACCAAATAATTCTGTGGAAATCTGATAAAATCCTCAGAAATTATTTCTCATTCATAAAAAACGGCCGTTTCTAACTCATCTAGGGTGTTAGGATCTGGGTTTCGCCGTCGTACTCCTCGCCTAAGTTGGTCCCAAATGTGGTCGATTGGGTTCAAACCTGGACTTCGAGCTGGCCACACCAAGCACTCAATTCCAGCCTTATTCAGGTAGTCATCCACAATACGTGCTCTATGGGATCTGGCATTATCCTAGATTAGCAAGAAACTCTAACCGATGTGGGGGGGGGGCAAATGGCAGTACATGCTCTTCGATTATTTCTTATAAGTACCTCTGTGAGGTTACAGATTTTCCTCAGCCAATTCGAGCGTCCAAGGAAATGCCACCCAAGAACATCAATGACACACTGTGGAATGCCTCCTGAGGAACCTTACTGCATGAGACGTACGTTCCTCCTGAGCATCTCCTAATTTCTCCGGAAATTACGCCCATCTGATGATTTGAGACAAACTCTCACTTCATTTGTAAAAACAACTCGTCACTAATCTTCCAATGTTCAATTCAAATGGTTCGTGCGAATTGAAGTCTGGCCATTTTCTGAGACGTGGTAAGATGGGGTCCACGAGCCGGTTGCTGTCTTGTGTTATTTTCACTCAGCCTTCTTCTTACAATCCTGAAGGAAAACGTAACATTTCAGACTTGTCTTATCAGATTTCTTATCTCATATTCCGTAATGCTGCGGTTTTGTAGAACCTGATGACTACATGAATCTATCGTCTCTCTCGTATGTAGACCTAGGTCGACACTGTCCTGGCCTACTAATGTGAAGCCCTGTTTCCCCTTCCGATTGCAGAGGATTTGCACTCAGGAATCTTTCCTCTAACTCTCTATCTCCTTGTCCCTGGTACTGTTATACACTCAAATGCCTGACTGGAGCCATTGAAAAAGATTTAAGAATAATAATAAAATCAAACGCATCTTTTGTACTTAATGCACTATTTTGAGCAAAACCATGTAATAAATTGTTCGTTAAATTTTATGAGCCCAACCATTTGTTAGTTAATTGTTAGTTAAATGTAATTGTTTTAAATAAAGTTATTCCGGTGCTTTGATACATTTTCTGCCATTAAATAATTTTTACAAAAACTCATGAATTTTTGATCTCGTTTAATTTGGTTTATATTAAAATAAGAATGTTGTAATTAATATCGCAACGCATCTTTTGTTCTTGATGCACTATTTTGAGCAAAACCATGTAATAAATTGTTCGTTAAATTTTATGAGCCCAACCATTTGTTAGTTAATTGTTAGTTAAATTTAATTGTTTTAAATAAAGTTATTCCGGTGCTTTGGTACATTTTCTGCCATTAAATAATTTTTACAAAAACTCATGAATTTTTGATCTCGTTTAATTTAGTTTATATCAAAATAAGATTGTTGTAATTAATATAACGACAAAATTACATATATATAGTTTGAAATAAACTACAAAAAATATTAGTGTCCTGTTCTGAAGCTACTCTACAAAAATGGTGTAATTTTATGAGCAAAACCATGAAATAAATTATTAGCTTAATTCATTATATCAAAAAATGGTATTCCGGTTTTTTCATCAATTTTCTACCAAACCATTAAAATTAATTTAAAAAAAACTAAAGAATTTTTGATCTCGGTTAAATTGGTTTATATTACAATAAGTATGTTGTAATTAAAAAACGACAATAATACATGTAATTTGAATAAAAGTATGAGTGTCCGGTTCTTTTCTCTTCGACTGTACTCGATGCGACCCGACGAAAATCTGGACAGTGGGGATCACATAGCGTAGAGTGTAGAGTAGGGTAGCGTTGAGTGGCATCTGGCAGATATGCACGGGGACTCTTATGGAAAAATGGACTTTGGATTTGCGTCGGGTAGCATCAGGTAGCGTCGCATGGCGTTATATCGGGTAAGTGCGTTCCCGGCTTAAAGCTTGCGGAACGTTTCAAAATGTATTGTATTGTTGACATATTTTTTGCTCAAGCCCTGTCGATATGTTAAATTTAGCAAATAAAAAAGATTTAATATTGCTTGCCAAACCCAATATTGACGCAATAAAATAAATACACGAAATATCTTGGAGATCTCTCTTCACCGTCTAAAAACGAAAATTGCTCCGAATACAAACATTACTTGATTTCCGCTGACATTTCAAGACAATACTTACAAGCATTTTCATACATTTGTGTGTTGTGAATCCCCAAGCCGCAGAATATGGCAAACGCTTCAAAAATCGATATATCACAGTCTGTAAACGGTTGGCCAGTTTCCTGGAACATATTTCGGAAATGAATTAGTACGGCGTTTTTCCTCTGGCTCGCGTTTTCATACTTTGTTTATGAGCTGGGCGACGCCGATGATTTGTTTCTGTCCGTTGATTATGGGCATGCAGAGGATACATTTGACCTCATTGTCATATTCGCCACCGGTCACTGTTTGGTTCATCCAGGTCGACACGTCTCCAATAGTCAGGATCTAAAATTTCTAATCGTGAGTGCTGATTTTCTCTACTCTGACAACATATAAAATGATACTTAAGGTATATCATCTATGTTCTTTATAAACAATGTTTAATACCCTTTTGGCTATCAACATAATAGCTAAATTTATGAGAGTGGTAACATCTAAAAATAAGCCGTCAAAATCAAAGAGATTTATTAGAAGAGAATTATAAATTATTTTCACACTTTAAAATTTATGAGTGTGAATGCACAAGTTAAATCACATATATCTATACTTAATTTTTTAATGTGCTCTTCTTTATGAACAATGTTTAATACCCTTTCGGTGCCAAGGGACTAACAACATAGTATCAACATAATAGTTAAATTAATTAATCTGTATTTAAGGTATTGGTTGAGATAAAAAAGTCAGTGTCACAAGCGGGATTCGAACCCACGACCTTCGGCTAAAAACGCCGCTGCTCTAACCACTTGAGCTATCGCGACCCCGATCCACTCGGACACTAACTTCCATCTCAACCTCACCTCTCAAATTTTCCCTCCTTTTTTCGGTTTTCCAAATGCCGTGTAATCTATTTGATTCTCGGCGACAAACGAAATGGCCACGGAGAGCTTTAGTGAAGTATGCTTCATTTTGCTTTTACATTTATTAGGTTTCGTGGTCCGATTGACCAAATAAATTCTTTTCAATTAATTAATCTTTAATTAAGGTTTTGGTTGAGATAAAAAAAGTCAGCGTCACAAGCGGGATTCAAAGGTGGGTTGAGATGGGAAGTTAGTGTCCGAGTGGATGGAGATCACGATAGCTCAAGCGGCGTATTTAGCCGAAGGTCGTGGGTTCGAATCCCGCTTGTGACACTGACTTTTTTATCTCAACCAATACCTTAAATACAGATTAATTATTTGAAAGATATTATTTGGTCAAGCGGACCCCGAAAACTAGTGAATTTAATAATAGCAAAATTTATGAGAGTGGCAACACCAAAAAATAAGACGACAAAATCGAAGAGTATTAATTACAAGAGAATTATAAATTATTTTCACAACTTAAAATTTATGCGTGCTGATGCACAAGTTAAGCCACATATATCTACACCTAATTTATTAATTTACTCTTCTTTATGATCAACATTTAATACCCTTTTGATGCCAGGGGACTAAAAACATAGTATCAACATAATAGCTAAATTTATGAGAGCGGCAACACCTAAAAATAAGACGACAAAATCGAAGAGTATTAATTAGAAGGCAATAAATTATTTTCACAACTTAAAATTTATGAGTGTTAATGCACAAGTTAAATCATATAGTTCTATACTTAATTTTTTAATATGCTCTTCTTTACATATCTACACATAATTTATTAATGTTCTTAACAAAATTTAATAGAAACCAATTATAGTATATGGTGGTTGCTAACTTACATAATTAACAACTGATATTTTTCGAATATCAAATTTATGGATTTATTGGATGGAACTATAAAATTTTTTCACGGATGATTTTTTTAATGAAAGAATTTTAATTTTTAATAACAGTCCTAGCTGGATAGAGCATAGTTAGCTACCGAAAAAAGAAAGATGAGGCTGAAACTGAAATATAATTTTTCTTTTACCTGTCCACTGGCAGCGACGTAGCTGGCGATTTGTGCCAGCCTAGATTTGTCGAGGTCGCTTTGATTCGGCGTGTATACTTGGGCTTTTTGCGAATCGGACTTCAGCTCAAACACTACTGTGAATTTCATCTGAAACAGGATAAAATTCCCGAAAATAAGATGAATACCTTACCGAATAGTTGGGTATCGAGTTCAAGCATACTTTCGTCCGTTTTTTCGGTGCGAGTATTTCTTCAACATTGACATTATTGCTCTGGAAAGTATTTCTAGATTAGAGATTATTCGAGATTGAACAGTTCAAAAGCAAAGGACTCACTTCTCGCCTGCACAAAGGCTTACGCTCCGGTATGACCACTCCCGTGTCGCACAAGCTTTCCAAGTGGATCTGTGAAAATTAGAGGATTAGAGAGGCGACGGGTTAAAGGCTTTCGTTCGAAGACTCACGGCTTCGCCGCAGTGGGTATCCAAGAGGAAAACGGCGCACCTTTCGCACTTGAGGAGATCACGAGCCTCGGTCATTATCTTAGTCACTAGCCTTTCCAAGTTGTTCTGCTCCTCGAATATTGACCTGGCCAAATTGAGCAGAATCTGAAAATTAAATCGGCGTTGATAACTTGAAGTGCAATGGGCAATAGTTTGCGTCAATCCCCTTAATCAGTAAAACTAAATAACAAGTATATACTGTTCTTTAATTTAATGGGTTTTGTTGAATGACTAATTTGTGCCCGGCAGGTAGAGAAAGTTTGTTTGACGGGTATATACGGTATAATTAAAAGGGAGCCATGATTTGGTTCCATATGGGGAGTACATAATTTACTTCTGTTAAACCTTTACTTTCCTCTCATACTGTTTACAATAATTTAAAGGGAAGTTGACGATTTTATGTAATTCAATGTTGATTTTAAATTCATTAATTTTTATGTAAGGTTGAGATAAAACAGTCAGTGTCCGGGATTCGAACCCACGACATTTGGCGAAATACGCCGCTGCTCTACCACTTAAGCTATCGTGACTTCGATCCACTCAGACACCAACTTCCCATCTCAACCCCACCTTTCGAATTTTCCCTCCTTTTTGCAATTTTTCAAATGTCGTGTAATCTATTCGACTCTTGGCGACAAATGAAATGGCCACGGAGTGCTTTCGTGAAGGTATACTTCATTTTACATATTAAATTCATTAGAGTTCGTGGTCCGATTGACCAAATAATTTTTTTCAATTAATTAATCTTTATGTAAGGTATTGGTTGAGATAAACGTATGGATTGAAGTCACGATAGCTCAAGTGATAGAGAAGCGGCGTATATAGCCGACGGTCGTGGGTTCGAATCCCGCTCGTGAGACTGACTTTTTATCAGAACCAATGGACTCTAATTGATTGATTTTAAAATTAAAAAACTCGTTCGTGTTGTGACAAAGCAATGCAGCAGTTCTGGATTCCAGCCAAACGTATACATTAAATGACCCGGTCAAAAATATACATTAAAAAAAAATTCCGCTTAAATGGTTCATCGCTGTCATTGATTAGTTGCATAAATAAATAGAGAATGAAATAGATAGGTTATTTAGAATCAGATTGGAATATCACGGAAAATCGAAGGTAATGGTGTTTGTAACGGGGCGGGGGGTTGCATGGGGTTGTCCTGTCAAAGTCGAGTAATAGTACTTCAGAGGGAGAGTCGATCTCGTTAAATATTGGCGTTTTGTCCTCACCCCTAGCCCAACCGGCATCAAAAAATATAAAGTCTGTGATCAAAGTGGATTTTCTTTATTTAACAATTTAATTGTTCTCTGTTTGTTGTTCATTGTTTTTATTTTCTAAGCACACAGCAAACCGGATTCTATTCAAATCTGTCGCGAATTGTTTGCTCAAATAACATTAATTCCATCAACAGTTTTAAACTTTTCAGTTACGGTTACGATAATTAAAAGTTCTTATAATTTATTGATGTACAATAGTCGTTTTAATTGATGAATACGTTTGTTTTTGAAGTTCTGTGGCCGCATCAAAATTTGATCGCCACAATAAAGATCGAATTTTGAGAGTAGTAACATGTAAAACGCTTCAGAAAGTTGAACAGTTAGCTGCAATAAAAAAGAATTCCATTGCTGAGTTTACAGAATTTCGTCGAATAGTGGAACGAATAAAGAAGACACCTGTGTCAAGAAAACAAGAAGTTTTAACTATTTTGGCTGATACAATGGAGGAAAATCAAAGCGACTATGTCAGTGATTGAATTGGTCCCACTATTAACTTTGGTTGCCTATACCGTTATGTCATAAATTTTGTAGAGCCACTTTATGAAAAGGTAATCTAGGTAATCTGTAAATGATTTTTATTTATTAATTCAAATTTAGTGCAGGATTTTCACGATCAGGGATCAGATTTCATGGTTAAGGTAGTGTAAAAATTCAACCAAATGGAAAACTTCTTTTGAAGAGGTCATTCGGATTGTCCGGCAATGGTATTACGACATTCGTTTCCCACTGGGGTCGCATTGTCTTTTAATATTGAGGTTCTTTAGCGTGCGCACTTAGCCGTCAGGCCTTATCACAGGTTTTAGATTCTCAAGTTAGTAAGGACTCACTTCCGCGCATGGAAAATCTGCTTCTTCCGTGAGGTTCGGTGTAGAAGCCGCAAATCCACAGTTTAATCGAGACATGCTGACCTCTCCCGCTTGCCCCTTCCGAGGGGATGGGTTAACGTTGTGCACTTAACCAGTGACGCACGTAAAGGGATACCCAAAAAGTGGTCGAAATGCATCGTCCTAGTCTCCCACGCACTCCCCAGAGAGAGAAGATAACTCTATCTCCCTGGGTGTAGGGGCTCCGCTAGCGTCGAAACCTCCGGATACCTTCAGCCGCGGTTTTGATTTAGAAGAATTTCTAACCACCCCCTAGAGGAGACCATGCCTACGGTAAAGGCAGCTCAAACGGCCGCCACCGACAAGCACCCGTCCCCGTCCACCATTCCTCACGCATTCGAGGGACGCCGGCAGCGTAGTCACAGCTCCTCGCTAGCTATACAATCTCGGCAATCCGATCCATCCGATTCCCAAGAGGTCGGGAGGTAATTCGGAGGTCATGCGCATGTACTACGGTCCACGGCCACGAATGAACCACAGGCTCTTCTATAGGCACCCGCCAGGGGTCTCACCACTCAGGCACCGCGAGTCCTTACCCATGCAGCTGGGTGAACTTGGAACGAAAATACGCTGCACCTCAATGCAGATGGATATGCACCCTCCCCCATCAGTATATATATTTAGACAGGATCTGATACCGCGTGTGCCTCTGTTACAGCACCTGCCGTTCGCGGCCAGCTCTCAAGCCAGCAACTCCCTTAACGCATCTCAAGGAACTAGGTAGGCGTAGTCTCAGCGTTCTCGCACGCTATACGCTTCCTTGGTCTTGTCATCCAATGCATGCAGAGGCTGCTGAAGGCGACCAAGCGCGCCAGGAAACACGTACCAGCTTGTGCTTCAGAGAGTGCGTCACGTTCTCAAAGATATACCATTATTTTGTGGCTGGAAACCCCCCTTGTAAAATGTATAATGTATAATGGTATTAAGTCAATCAAATTTTAAGTACATACTTGGTTCCTCTTAAACTCTTGTACGGACATTTCGAAAAGCTGTGCGTTCTGGATTCCAATGCCGCAGAACGTAAGATACCTCTGGAATACCTAAAAGCCGAGATAACGTGTTACTCATTCGGTTTGAATAAACAAAACCGCTGAAATTACCTCGACGTCCCTATCAGAAAACTCCTGCGATCCGTCCGTTTTGTTAATAATCTGCGCCACCCCGATTACGTCGCCCTCGTAGTTGCAGATGGGCCCGCATAGGATGGTGGTCGTCTTGTAGCCGGTTCGCATGTCTATCTCGCTGTTGAACCTGGGGTCCTGCAACAATTTAAAATCTTTCAATAAAAGATCATTGATAATGGTGATTCAATTTACTTACCAATTGGCTTTATATAACGAAAAAGGAGGAAATGCAAGAAATGAATGAACATCTTTGACGCTGATACCGTTGACAATAAAAAAGAACCGTAATAGAGAAAATAGAAATAAGTCCTTTCTACATTGTAAAAAAAGAAACGAAAATTGGTCGTATAAACAATTAAAGTTTTTCTAAGATCGAATTTTTAAGGAAAGAAGGCACATATTTGGGACAAACTGCAGAAGGTGTGAAAGTTGGAATTTTGACAACCAAAATGAACGTGTACTGACCGTGTAGGCGTCCTTGATGTTGATAACTTCCTTCTTCTTGGCCACCACCCCTGCCACACCAACCCCGAAAGGTATTCTGATCTCTTCAGCTTTGGCTTTCTTGATCGCATCTTCAAGCTCTGAAAAAAATTTTTGATAAATTGAGTTTGATAAATTTAATCGTTTTCGAAATAAATGAGGAGGGCCATCTTGTTAAATAAAGCATACCCCCTCTCACGTATTCCGTCGGGCATAACACAGAAAGTGTCGATCTTATCAAAATTTTCCTTTCAGTAAAAGTGGCATAAAATAAGCTCTAAAATCGAATTGTACAATAAAAATATGGGATTTTTATTTAAAATAACAAAGTTAGTGTCATTTCCTAAGTAGATGAGAAAGTTATGTTAAATCTGTTACCACCAAACGATCACTAGCCAAAATTAACTTGGGTTTTGTGTAAAACAATTTTTTGCTAAAGTTAATTGTTTCCGAATTAAAAAGGTGGTCTATAGAAGTTGATACACCCTGTATATGAATTAGGTAGGAAGTAAAGTTCGGGTCCTTCAGTAATTATATTAACCTATTATGCGTTTTAGTTGGTCCTATTAACCAAAGTAATAACTTTAATTATTATGTAAAGTTGAGAAGGAAAAATGGGTGTCACGAGCGGGACTCGAACGAGGATAGAAGTCACGAAAGTTCAACTGGTAGAAGTTACCAACTGATCTGGAGGTCGTGGGTTTGAGTCCCACTCGTGACACTAATTTTTCAACTCAACAAACTTTACATATTAATTAAAGTAATTACTTTGGTTAACAGGACCATCTACATAATAGATTATTGTAAGTTGAGCTATTTACGAACTTGCTATCCGCCTTTTGTACAATGTCTGGAACAATAACAAATAAAATCTGCTGCCATTTTTCGGAAGACACGGAATATCCAAAGTGCGTTATCTATTACATTTTAATGTGGCATTACTGTTATATCGATGCAAGTTCGTATTTACAGCGTTGTTGTGAGAAAATGTATACTTCAAACGCCGTGGTTTGTCACACCGTCCCACAGGGTACAAGTTCGATTTATCGAACGGCGTAAAACATATTTTAGCTCAGAATTAATTTAAAATTAGGGGTGGGGGCGTTATTTCCTGCTCGCTTAGCTCGCCAACCCCCGGGCCGGTCTCTTTTTTCATTGCCCACTCATCCCCTCGTGAAATCTATCTGACGTGGAGCAGCCTGGCGGTTGGCGAGCCGAGTCCCTGCTGCGACGATTTCGCCAATTTGAAATTGGATTTTTCCTATGGCGTTGTTGTCCATTTATTGGGAGTTGTCTCGCCCTTGAGAATCTTCTTCTGAAGAAACAATCTTTTGAGGTGCGATGTGGGGCCGAAGGTATGGAGGAAAGAGGGGATACAAGATAAACAAACTCCTCAGCCGAGGTGATGAGGCGTTCGTGAAATATATGCCAATCAGAGGTCCAGCTAATAAGAAGTACAACTGTCCAACAAGAAGGGATTTTGCGGCCATCTTGGAACGGCAAAACTGGGACCCCGGAAAATTCAAGCCTACGCAAGGTGCCCTTTTTGTTTGGAAGATACATTTTAATCTTTTGTGTGTGTCAAGGCCAGTAATTCCGAAATTATAATTTTTCATGAAATTTAAAAGATTTTGTTTTAGAAAATAAATACCTTTTTTCTCTTTACTCAAAAGTGTACATTTTTTATTTTTTTTAAAAATCATTTCTAATTTCGTTATAATTTTTATTTTTATTATATATTTTCTTTTCTTTTAGTTTGATTTTGATTAACCATTATTTTAACAAGCCTACATAGTTAGGCACATATGTGAAGGCAGTTTTAGTGGGCAGTCTTTCTCTATAAGTTTCAAAAAGAAAAACCAATTCTCTAGCTGAAACTGACTGTCACACTGCTAGTTAGAAACTGCTCAAAAATGGATAGGAATATTTGTAATTTATTCTTATCAAGCGAATCTCCAGGATGCGAGGGCTGTTTCAGACCTGCTGTGCAGTAGATTCGAAACTGAGGATGGAGATAAAGCCCTAGTTCAGGAAACCTGGATTTTCAAGAAGGCCGTAAGAGGCATAAACTTGGAACACACTTACCCGATGCAAAGCCATGCGACGCTACCGACGTAAATCCAAAGTCCGTTTTTCCATAAGATCGTATTTCTCCCGTGCACATCTGCCCGATGCTATGCTACGCTACCCTACTCTACACTCTACGCTCTGCGATCCCCACTGCCCAGATTTTCGTCGGGTCGCATCGAGTACAGTCGAAGACAAAAGACCGGACACTTAAATTTTTATTCAAACTACATATATTATTGTCGTTTATTAATTACAACAAACTTATTTTAATATATTACAAATTAACCGAGATCAAAAATTCATTAGTTTTTATTTAAAAAAATTAATTTTAATAGTTTGGTAGAAAATTGATCAAAACACCGGAATACCATTGTTTCATATAATGAATGTAATTAACAATTTATTACACGGTTTTGCTCATAAAATTTAACTAACAATTTATTTCATGGTTTTGCTCATAAAATTACACCATTTGCGTCGAGTAGCGTCAGAACTGGACACTAATATTTTTCATAGTTTATTTCGAATTTGTCGTTATATTAATTACAACATGCTTATTTTAATGTGAATCAAATTAAACGAGATCTAGAAATCATGAGTTTTTATAAAAATTATTTAATTATGATGGTTAAGAAGAAAATTTATCGAAACACCGGAATAACTTTATTTAAAACAATTTAACTAACAATTTATTACATGGTTTTGTTCAAAATAATACATTAAGAACAAAAGAGGCGTTGCGATTGTGATAGCGATTTGTGATACACGCTGTAAATTAGAATAATAGAAATTACAAACCGACAAACCGCCGCAACATTATTTTAGCAACATTAAATGTTGGCCATTAAAATTTTAAAACCCCAACATGAAACAAAAACCTAACGTGCCTGATGTCACACGAAATGCAATAATATGGAAATTTTTAAATTAAATTAAATATTTTTTGCTCCAAAATTTTAAAGAATTTTTATAAAAATTAGACCAATTAAAAAAAAAAGATATTTAGGAAAGAAGAAATATCAATATAAAGACGTGGCTTTATTTACATATGAAAATCCAGAAAACAGAATTATTACAGTTGCTTAAAAAAAATGTATTTCCCAAAACGTTAATTGATTTGGGAGAGTCGCTATCTTCCATTTCGAAACGATTATTTTTAAACTTATTTAAATTGGGACTTATTAAACAAAAAAAATTACAACCAACTAGTCATAATTTAGTTCTGTAAACGGGTCAATTGTAGAACCATCTAAAAAATTAAACTAAAAATAACTGTCGGGACGTAATGTTGTAATTTTGGCTTTTTACTAACAAACAATTTTCCCGTATCGATAATCTTTGCTATGGCTTCCAGAAACAAACGCAATTGACCGTATTTCCTAGCCCGACGGATATTTTTTCCCCTTGGCTCCAAATAAAATTTTTCCTCTACATAAAAGTGACAGATTTATTAATTGTATCGGAATAGGAAAAAACAACGACAATTTATTAGAACATTTCAAAAGACATTATCCCGAGGTGCTCAACCATCGAATAGGAAAAGCAGTTAATTACGAAAAAGAATTAGAGCTTGAGGACAACACCCCTCAAATGCAACCCTATTGTTCAAACCAAATGTAAAAGGAACTGGCAAAAGAAATATTAAATGATCTTATAAAACATGGCATTATCATTGAAGGACAGTCCGACTACATAAGTCCCTGTTTTCTTGTAAAAAAGGGCCAGTCTACTAATCACGGGCTTGTTGGTTGTAGGGAACTGACCAAAAAATAAAAAAAAAATCGAATATCCTATACCAAACATAAAATCGATTCTGGACCGATTACGGGTACATAAGTTTTTCTCTTCACTCGACGTAACTAAATCTTCCAACAAGTCTACGGCCCCTAACAGAATTTACTGACGGAAGAAAATCTACCTATTTAAACCAATATTATTTGGTCAGAAAATAAGAAACCAAAATCAATTATAACGACTAAAATTTTTCATGATCTAAAATTCATGGTTTTATATCGATGATTTAATAGTGTTTTTCAAAGTCATACGAAGAACATTTTCACAATTTATCGTGCGTGACCGTCTGAAACAAAACGGATTAACAGTCAATCCCGAAAAGTTGCAATTAGGTGTACAAAATTTAAAATTTATGAACCATGTAAGTTCATAAAAACGAATCCGCACGAACGAGTACAAGCTTTAATAAATATGGAATCAACCTAAAAATCTTAAAATACTACCGTCTATCCTAGGAGCCATTAATTATTTTAAACGATATTGCCGGATTTGTCCCATTGCTCAACTTGCACAACTTAAGATGTATTTTTTCTAAATTTTTCTTTTACGAGGGTTCGCAACAGCAGAACTCAGGGTGCCGGGGTTTTTGAAAAAAAGCCCATTTGTAAGTATGTCGGGTTCGAATGTAGGGCCGCTGGATTCGAACCCGGGACCATTACTTTACAGTGATGAGCGCCGTGTCAACGCCAAATCGTTGCGGCCACCGACGCCCCCAACTTAAGATGTAAAACAGATTTTGTGCGGCGCGAATAACGTTCTACAGCATTTAATGAAGTAAAAGAATATTTTGCGACCGAACCGATTTTGAAAACCCGAATTTGATGGAAGTAATCCCTTTCGTCTATTTATCGATGTCTCGGATGTACCCCTGACTATTTTTCAATCCGAAAACGAAAAACTTTTGCCAATCCATTTTGTATCTAAAACTTATAACAACCATCAAAGAAATTACTATGTCTCGAATATAAATGCAAATTTTACTAAATACGGATTTTTACCTGCCAAAATAGAAAACCTTTACCAAGCTATAAGCTTTTTTATTATGTCAAATTTCGTACAAAAGAGTCTAGTTTAACAAATTAAACGTTAATTTTACACTGGTGATAAGTGACCTTTGAGACATTAATTAAATGTATTTAAAGCTCATTAGTAGGAGCAACTTCTCTTTAAGTACAATATCTGCCAGTATTAGGAGAGCAGAAAATGTTACTTGAACAAGAACTTTGGAAACTCGTAAAAGTTTATGTTGTAACTGATTTTGCACTTCGTTTGCAAGGTAACAATAAAAATATAAAAAAATTGTAAAAAAAGTAATAAAAAATAAAACGAATGTTATAGGAGTCTTAATGCTCTTTCCACCGATGTGAACAATTTATGGAAGTTCTAATTATTTTACGGTGGTTTTATGGGAAAAAGTTGTGAATGGATTAAGCAATCTAAATAAGTGAAGTATCTCAAATACAATCGAGAATCGGACTATGTGTACATTAATTGTTAATATGAAGATTAATCTATTTTGGGGTGTTTTGGCATAACGTAGACCTCATTCTAGAAAAGGAACCACCAATTTTAATTAAAGTGGCCCACTGTAATGAGATGAAACGTCTGTTGCGCCAGAGTTTCAAATCGCTGCGATGGACCAGTCAGGTAGTCAGGCGGATTCATAAAATATTTTCATTAATTAGAAAACTTTTTGGATTACGTAAGAAGGCCATTTGCATTTTCAAAACATTTTAATTAGAAACGCGGTTTGACCAATAAATTGAATTCTCTCTCTATTGAAATCTTTTATTAGCTGAGGCTTACTTGAAAAAGAAATTTGGCTATTTCGGGTTTGACTACAAAAAGGATTTTTTTTCTAAAGAAATGTGTGGTGGTTGGTGACCGTTAGTCAATGATTATTTGGAGATCGTGAGATGCGGTCTGGTGATACGTAGGTTTTAGGAAAACATTTTCTGTATCGTGCCAACGTTTCGATCTTTTTTGAGATCATCTTCAGGAGTCAAAGTGTTTGATGTCCGTGTAGGTGTGTCATTCTTGTCTGTCGCATTGAGAGTGCCCAGGGCACTTTGAGCACTGAAGATGATTTCAATAAAGATCGAAACGTTGGCACGATAAAAAAAATGTTTTTCTAAAACCTACGTCACACCAGACCGAATCTCACGATCTCCAAATAATCATTTTCTAAAGAAAGATAGCTAAACGACGAAAACATTTCCCAATTAAATAGTAAATTGCCTTAGCAATAATAAAAACTGTTCAAATCAATTACTATTTATTTCAGACCGGTTCTCTTTCCAAATAATCAAGTACACACCCTAGTTCCAATCGATCTATAATTTTTCTAGATTATTTAATTTATTAATATGGAACATGGGTTTACTTGAATTTGCTGCATACAGTTCCTTTATCATCGATTTATTTTCATGACGTAATGATATTAACTTTATTGAAGAGATTCCATATCGTGTGGGAGCATTATAACTTTTCTTTGGCCACAATGACTCCTGATCTACTTACTCAAAACATATTTGACTTTCTCGTCGTACGTGATGTAGCCTTCGGCTCATAAATCATACGGAATATACTTTGGGGATCGCATTTAGCCAACAGCCATAATTTCATATTCATCAGAAAACTTTTATACTCTTAATGACGCTTATTACAAATCAATATATGGTGATTTAATTTATTTTGACATTTATTTTCTTTATTATTTAAAATATGTGGGCTTTCTAATATAACATTTTAACTTTTTCATTTGTAGTTGCATATTTTTAAACTAAGTAAATATTCGTGTTAATTTTTTACATCACTTAAACATATTCGTACAATGAGGTTATTTAATAAAACATACAAATAAACATAATTTATAAATTTGAATTTTATGACTGAATTGTAAGTATGAATGTCCGACTTACCGGTATCTACTGTGACATCGAAGAGCTTAGCCACGAGGTACTTGGAATCTTGGGCTCCTCGGGCGAGGAACAGGGAGCCCCGGTCGGCCCTCGTGAGTAGACCCACGTTCACCAGGATTTTGTGGCAGAGGACATCGATATCGAGCTCGTTGGATACGTCTCGGATCAATTCCATAAACAACTCCCCCTCGTCCAGCAGGTTCAGCCGACGACGCCATTCTCCAGACACCCTCGGCCTGTGAAATATAACTTAATACTGTACTTCAGTTCACAGTAACAATTGCACAACAAATTTTAAAAATACGTATTTTCAAAAATTGACTCAATCGATTTATATGTGTATATTAATATTAAAAGAAAGTGAGAAAAGAAGCGACCACCGAGTAATTATGATTGAAGAAATGTGAATTAGATGATTGGATTGCCTACGAAGCGAACCTCAATTTGGCCCATGACCTGGTTAGTTTTAAATCAATTTCTTGGGATGAAAAACATTCGTTGGTTTCTTGGAGCTTATTCCGTTATGGGAAGGTGATTTGGATAGGTTAGTTGTCTTGCACTAGGAGGTTTAAAGCTGGGCGCATACAAGGTCGGTGGTGCGGCGAGGAACCGACCTCCAAGAAGAATACATTGAAATGAATGTAACACCGCACACTAGGCCGGTAGGGCGGCGCGGCGCGGCTCTGAGCCTGAGGAAGTTACCAGACATCTCAAACCCGGCTCCGCGCCGCGCTACCGGCCTAGAGTGCACCGGGGCGGTCGGAAATCGTTGAGTTCGGGTATATTCGGCTGCCCTCCGCTATATTTATAAAGACGAAGCCAACGATTGTGACGTGAGGACTCCTGGAAATGCAAAATCAACACTAAACCGCAGCGCTAGTCAGTTGGAGGGGGAAAATTCGACCAACAGCCGAGAGCGGTTCCTACATAGTGTGCGGGCCTTCACAATTCCGCGCCGCCACACCGACCTAGTGTGCGCCCAGCTTAGGGGGCTATAAAAGGATATATTATGTCAAATGTGGATTATTCACAGATATTCATTAAAACCGGTCATTTAAAATCGCTCGGTTCGTTTGGCATGCCTTAAATTTGAAGGGGCATCACGAATGCTCCGATCCAGTCTTCAAGAAGTGAATTTTTCACTTCCTCTCAAAAATGGAGGACGTCAGTGGTGTGCTTGTTTGGTAGAAAAGGTTAACAAGCAAAATAAGAGTAAAGCTTTACTAAAATGGCTCGAGTTTGATTCACCACACAATAGTTTGTTGGAACGACGAATTTAAACATATAAAGCAAGCGTTTGGTGAACATTGGAGTCAGTGGGCGTGGAAACTGCGTGCAGAATCTGCAGACTTTGACATTTCTAGAATAACGGGTCTACTTTGTCGAAATTTAACAATTCTTGACATTTCCAAAATAATGTATGTAAGATTGGTATGTAAAATATGAATAAACCTAATTACGTTAAAATTTAAGGTTGGTGCGTTATTTTGTGGTGGTGTGGTTTAATAGTGATGTTAAATTAATATTTTTTATAATATGTATAATAATGTATTCTATCATTTTTGATTTGTAATAATTTTCATATATGAAAGTATGCATCTATGGTATGGTCATTAATAAGGTGGTGAAAAACCCGTAAACCAACATAAAAATTATGTCAAATTTTCTTCTTGCCTTTTCTCTGCATTGATCCAATAAGGAGGTTTCACAAACGATATTACACATTTGTTTAAAACAAATGAATAATTTTCATTTCATCGTCGGCTTGGTAGAAGGAGGTCGTCACGGTAACACAACGATTACATTTACATTTTCAATATTTTTTTTCTTCTTCTTTCCCAAGATAGATTGTTCACCTTTAGCTTCGGATTCAATCGAAAATCGTCTATACGAATCGGATATCTGAATGTCAGTTCCGAGAAATAAACACAAAATTTGCACAACCCATCACAGCCTGTTTGGAATATATAGCGCTAACTATCCATTAAGAGTATGAAATGCCGTCATGCGTATTCCTCCCACAGAGATTTTGCAAGATCTTCGATGAAAATGTCATAAGAGATTACAACGAAAATGTGAAAAAAATAATGAGTTTACTGTACAAAGGATAGCCGATATAACGTGAAATTTATTTATCTTTTATGTATAAATTTGATACTAATAAAGTATGATTATCAAGAAGGGTTTTTATGTACCTAGTACCGATCGATTGAACCTAAAAATAAATTCATATGTTGACTGAAGGAGTTCATTTTAAAAAACAATGTTTAAAAATCATTAATTTGCCCCGAGTAACGGCACACGTAGTATAAGTGTTCAAAATTTCGTCGACCGCTGGTAAAACGGAAGTGGTCTGTCAAAGTGCCATACCAAGTGCTAGTTATCAGTGTTTGGTGGGAGGTGGAAGACATCCGAGGCCCTGGGTCCAATCATGAGATAAGGCGGTGTCTGGGTCAGTTGTAAGGGGGTCTGCTCAAAGTACCATCAAACCCCAAATCGAGAGATATAAGGAGCGGGTAGAGATGTCTGGGTCCCATCAGAGTCTGTAAGGACGAGTTGAGATAAAACCTGTCTGCCCAAGTGCCATTATAAAACTACTTACGGCGATGGATGGGCCTGTGCCTCAACTTTTTGTTCCGAAGGACTTGAACTGCGGCCTCGTTGACGTTGGTATTTGACTGTTTCTGTAGACATTGTATTTTAGCCATGAGTTCGATGCATTTATCTGTATTAACTATGATCTCGTAAATATCGCCCAAGTCTGGCAGTTGGTCTTGTACTGCCGCTAGTCATTCAAGCACGTTTTGTTCTCTCGCCAGCAAGACTTCTGTTATTTTGGATATTACCCTATGCCAATGTGTTCGCAGAAGATCAGTGCTAATGATGGCTGTGGCTCTTGTTTTCAACACTCAACTCACGTTTCCTAAGAGTTGCGGTTTTGATTTTACTTGATGCTCTTCAGGACTCTCCTGATTCTGGTTGCTTGAGAATCTGTGTAGATATCGTTGAGAGTTTCATTTTAGGCCTCGTAAGGTTGAAATACGTCACTTTTTGCTTTAAGAAGTCGTAGTCGAGATTAGCTACGAGGGAGTTGCGAACGTTAGCTCTATGTAGATGGCCAGTCCTGTGATGTGCTCCTATCTGTCGGACTTTCGGTCGGTCACTGCTTCGGTGTTCGTGCCGGCGTATTTAGATCAGCCATGCCTTCTAGTTGAGGTGAATCGGAAGAGGACAGCTACCAAACCCTTAGGCGGTCGTACTACCCTAAATTTATCCAGTTACGAAACATTGGAGGTAAATGCTCCGGCCTGTTGCTGGTTTTTCAAAAGCTCGGTCCGATTCTCCAGGTGTTGAAATGCAGCTGAGAGGTGCTGAATCCTCAGACTGGTTGGGTGTCTTTTCAGAAGCTCTTTGTTGTGGTTGGTAAGAATAATACACTTTTTTCTCTTTTTCTTTATCACAAAGGCTACGTAGCTTACGAAACGTTAATATATGTAATCGGGATGGAATTATTGATACATAGTTATAGCTTATTGAATCGAATAAAAACACTTTATTCGCGCACGCTACACATTCATGATTATGTCATTATGTCCGCGGATTGTCTTGCGGTACACAATGTTAACATCATTAACAAGACACTAACTACCTCTAATTAGTTGTTACGTAAAATAGTAGTGAAATCTGTCGTCCTCGTGTAGAATTATGCCACCTGCTGTAGCTTGCGCTGTCGATGGCGGTTCATGTGCCACTACAACCATATTTATTTTCTCAAAAATCACCAGTCCAAATTCTGCAGGAGATCCATACAATTTTGGGAAATAAAAGAACAAATAATGAAGTAGGGCACTTTTCCACTGACCGATCTTCGTTTCTAACCGGGTCCTCATTCGGATGTAATAAATCCCACAACCCACAACCATGGGGTTTGATGCGCGGGTTTTCGGCGACGAGTCAAAAGAATCTTCAAACAAAAGAAAATAGGTCTCACAATAATACTGTAACAATTGTTACTTTTTCAAACTTGATAGATAAATAATTTCACATAAAGAATCGCCCTATCAGTTATATTGAATTCAGTTGTAAATTCGCCGCTTCCGATCATGCTGGTCTGTAAGGGGAATTTCGCCATGTCATTAAAACTCACAGGGGGACGACCAGATTAGTGGAATTGGATTTGGACCAAACTTTTTTTTAAATTTTTGTGGCTTTATCAGGGATATTCAGCCAGATTCAGGTACAGTGACTAACAATCTAAGTAACTGTCTAGTAAAGGAATAATTAGATGAATAAACGAATAAATAGGCTCATAAATATATAAATAATCGGATAAACAACTTAAATACTAATGTCACAATTCTTGAAGTATTTGAACAAGGCGTCATAGACTGATAGTGTCACCCTTGCCAGCAGCGAGCTTAAGTTCAGTGGCCTTTTAACTTGCCCCAAAGTGTCCAATTCTTTCAGAAATTGTTCTCGCTGGGCTTCATATTCGGTGCATTCTAGTAGTATATGGTCAAGGCTCTCTTCTACATCGCACGTTGCGCAGTTTGTGGATGTTCTACAGTTCATCCTGAATAAATACGAAGCGCAAATGTCATGGCCAGTTCGGAGTCGTGTAATTGTTGAGAAGAAAGCTTTTCCTCTCTCTATTTCTTGAAACCACGGCTACTTTTGTAATGTTGGGAATAATGAACGGTAGAACTTCCCTGCTGTGCTCGTATCGTACCAAACTTGCCACTTTCTGCACACGTCTCTTTTGATATTGTTTGTAACGTCTCCGACGGTTAGCTGCACAGTCGTGGGAGAACTTTTAATGGTTGCCTCCTTGGCTAACTGGTCGGCTCTTTCATTATGTTTTATACCTTCATGCCCTTTTATCCAGCATATTACAATGTTTTTGCCTTGATTCCTTAATTTGTAGGTTAACCTGACAATTTCGATTAAAATATATTCATACTTCTTATCAAAATTGAAAGTGCATAGCTGGCATATCGTGCTGAGACTGTCCGTCATAATCCCAATATTTTTATTTGGTATCTTCGCGGAGTATTCCAGCGCTTTCAGTATGGCTATACCTTCTGCTGTGTAAAAGCTAACCAGGTTCGGAAGTAGGTGTTCCTCGTGATACCTATTCAGGCTGTCAAAAAATGCACAACCCGCGGAACTATTAAGTTTTGATCCGTCTGTGATGATAAGGAGGTGATCTGAGAACTTTTTGCAGCTGTCTGCCCAGAAATGCATTTCTACGAAGTTGGCTTGGCGTCCTGTATAATTAAGTTCTTGACAATTTATTTCGCTTATTATTGCTTGATATTCCAGAGAGAAAATTGGTAGTATCGGATTTTTGTAAACAGAATGTATTATTGAGATTAGGGAGAGAAACGATTCGACCATATTCGAGCTTATTTCTTTCGCCAACATCTGACTGTCATAACTTTTTGTGCTAAATGGCTTACTTTCGTTAATAGCGTACATTTTAACAGTTTTTTGCATATTTTTCCCGCCTTAAGTTCGGTGATGGCTCACATGTTTCGGCATAAAGAGCATGTATGGGAGTGCTGGGAAGACATCCCAGGATACGACGCAGGCATTTGCGTTGAAATACTGCAATCCGTCGTTGTACAAAATCGGGGGCGTGCCCATAAAAAAAACAAACTTTCTTTGCTGATTCTACACTTCAATTTATCGGGCTCGTATCTGCATGTGATTTTGGTTCGCCAAAAAAGTTTTTAAGTTGAAATTTTGAACAATACCATTATCTAATAATAACAATGAACAAACACTATTTAAGCAAAATATGTCAGAAAATAGTCCAAACTTGGATACGATCTCGTCGTGATTCTAGTGCCATAAAACCATTAGATACTGACTTTCGCGGAAATCGGTGTAAATTAATTTTTGGACTGATAATTTCTACTCTCCCATTTGCTCGAGAACACAGACATTGGTGTACATTGCTCCACGATATCCAGGAAGGGCGTTAAAGAGTGTGGAGAAGCGAAATGAAAAGTACAGGGCCAACCGTTTCAACCTAGCTGATGGTGTGGGCAGGAATTTCAATGGAGAGTCGCAGAGAGTTGTTCGTGCATGGTCCTTGACGGCCACTCGCTATGTGGACGAAATTTTGTAATATCATGCCGATCCTCGATGAAATCAGCGATCCCCTTCCACATGTCGTTGCATAGGACAAACCTTCAACAGCATAACATTTTTAGGCCTTAGCCTGGCCAACCTGTTCTCCAGACGTGAACTTTATCGAACATTTGTGGGATAACCTCAAAAAACGAATAAGAGCACGTCCATCACTTCCTGCTACACGATCTCGAAAGGACTCTTCGTGAAGAATGGGCTAACCTCCAGCAAAGAGACATTTCCAGACTCGTAGGAAGTATGCCGAAGCTTCTTCGAGATGTAATTAAGGCAAGAGGAGGAAATACGCCATTTAAAATGTTAATTAAGAATCTAATAAAAACAAATTTTATTGGTCCGTCTTTTTTTATTTTCCTTAGCAATTTGCATTTTTTAAATTACTTTTTTAGACAAGGACTCAACTATTAAACGTTAAAAAACTGAAACTTTGATAAATATATAAAAATGTATACAAATCAAATACAAATCAAGTTATATTACAAGTGGGTGGGATTTTTTGCTGTCAGTGTACGTAGTTGCTTTGGGGAAATAGTGAGGAGAATTAAAAAAAAAAAAAAAAATGGAAAATTTGAACTTTCAAAATTTTTTTGGCGAAACCGGGGCCAACCAAAAATGTTTGATCCAAATCCGTGGTCAACCAACCCCTCTAGTCAATGTCCAGTTTGTAAACAGTTAACATAATCACAGGCAATGGTGAACTGACGAAACCAGAATTGAAAAATATTTTGATTTATTGGGAATAATATCGATTTTATATTCGATCTGCCTATTTCAATAGCATTCTTACGTCATATTTTATTATACGAGCGAAGCTTTTATTATATTATTTTATTACCTGTTGGGCGATCTGGATCGCTTAATGGGCGACGAGGTAAGCCAGAGATTGAATAGTTCTGATGTTATGCTGGGTCGCTTGAGGCTGGCAGCCAGGTGCGGCGGTGCGCGTTCCGACAGCCAACGCTCGACGATGTCCGGCCGCCTATCTAGCAATTCCATCACCGCATGCTCCTCGCCCACGTCGCACTTCCGTCACAACTCCCTGGAAAAAATGGAATATTCACATAAGACCAAACTATTTTGTTTTTCAACACCGGCACCCCAAGGGTTCATATAACCTCGGAATTGAAATACCCTCATAAAAAAATCTATTTCTGTGACCGTACCGATTGTGTCGGGATATGCAGCTCATGCAGAATCCCGCCATAGCCCATGGAATTTTAATAGAGAAGAATAAAAAAGTGTAGAAAGTGGTATGACCTCTCTATAAACTAACTCTAAAAATAAGACAATTAAAAAGAAAATGTTTATTACCTAATTCTAAAAAAACAATGATTGAGTAAAGAACAGGAACCGTAAAATTCAAAAAAAGAAAAATAAATAAATAAAAAATAAAAATGTGAACACATTTTTTTAGCCCCTTAAAGCGGGGAATATTCATGCATAGCTACGCGACGCTACCCGATGCTACTCGACGCAAATCCAAAGTCCCATTTTCCATAAGATTGTATACTCCCGTACACATCTGCCCGATGCCACGCAACGCTACCCTATGCGATCCCCACTGTCCAGATTTTCGTCGGGTCGCATCGAGTACAGTCGAAGACAAAAGACTGGACAATTAAATTTTTATTCAAACTACATATATTATTGTCGTTATATTAATTACAACAAACTTATTTTAATATATACCAGATTAAGCGAGATCCAAAATTCATTAGTTTTTATTTAAAAAAAATAATGTTTTTGGTTTGGCAGAAATTAATCAAAACACCGGAATACCATTTATTGATTGAAAGAATTTAACTAACAATTTATTACATGGATTTGTTCATAAAATTTAACTAACATTTATTACACGATTTTGCTCATAAAATGTAACTAACAATTTATTTCATGGATTTGCTCATAACATTTAACCAACAATTTAATTCATGATTTTGTTCATAAACTTTAACTAACAATTTATTACATGGTTTTGTTCATAAAATTTACCTAACAATTTATTACATGGTTTTGTTCATAAAATTTACCTAACAATTTATTACATGGTTTTGCTCATAAAATTTAACTAATAATTTATTTCTTGGATTTGCTCATAAAATTTAACCAACGATTTATTTCATAGTTTTGTTCATAAAATTTGCCTAACAATTTATTACATGGTTTTGCTCATAAAATTACACCATTTGCGTCGAGTAGCGTCTGAACAGGACAGTCATATTTTTTATAGTTTATTTCGAACTATGTATATATAATTTTGTGGTTATATTAATTACAACATGCTTATTTTAATGTAAACCAAATTATACAAGATCTAGAATCCATGAGATTTTATAACAATTATTTAATTATGATGGTTAGTCAGAAAATTTAGCAAAACACCAGAATAACTTTATTTAAAACAGTGAAATTTAACTAACAATGTATTTCATGGCTGTGCTCATAAAATTTAACTAACAATTTATTTCAAGGTTTTGCTCAAAATAGGGCATTAAGGTGTTAGAACCTGGGTTTTGATCGCTTAGGTTGATCCCAAAATGTGTTCGATTGAGTTCAAATGTGGACTTCGAGGAGGCCTCACCAAGCACTCAATTTCAACCTCATGCAGGTAGTCTCCACAGTACGTCCTCTATGGGGCCTAGCTTTATCTTGTGTTATCAAGAATTTTTCACCGACGTGGAGGCAGTACATGTTCTTCAATTATTTCTTGCAAGTACCTCTGTGAGGTAGCAATCTTCCTCGTACAGCAACCAATTCGGTGCAGGCATACAACGAAATGCCACCCTAGGACATCAATGACCACCTGGGAAACCTTACTGCATGAGGCGTACCTTTCTCCTGAGCCTGAGCATATGAAAATACGCCCATCTGAAGATTTGAGGCCAACTTTCACCTCATCTGAATAAAACACCTCTTCCCCAATCTTCCAATGTCCAATTCACATGCTCCCGTGCGAATTGAATCCTGACCATGTTCTGAGGTGTGGTAAGAAGAGGTCTACGAAACCGCTGAAGAGCCCCTGATTCATTGAGTCCATATCAGATTTCGTTTCTCATTTCCCGTATTGCTGAGGTTTCGTAGAGCCTGATGACTAGATGAATCTATCGTCTTTAGTCTGTAGACCTTGGTCGACCCTGTTCTGGCCGTTTAGTGTTATCCTGATGCGCCGAAGGACCGTTCCTATTGTAGAGTGATTTATATTCAGCCTCCTAGCGACTTCGCGCTGGTTGTTTCCTTCCTCTAATACTGCTTCTCTGACACTGTCATACTTACTCAAATGCCTGACTGGAGCCATTGGAAAAGATTTAAAATAAGAATAATATCAAATGAACTCAAAAAATATGCATGAAAGGAAAATAAATTAACTGAAAGCGATCTTTAGAGCAGAATGGTAGGGGATAATTATACTTTTTATGCAAATGAGATTAATTAGTACAAAAATAAAGAAAGGAAGTAAACAAAGCATTATTTACTGTTTATTTTGACTACGATATATCTTAATTACCTTTAATTAATGTAGATATAATAATGGATTTAATTTCAAACTAAATAAATTGAATGGTGCATTAAATTTGTCCATGCATTAATAATGGCAGATTAAGAGCCAATATTTTTTAAAGGGTTGGGGTTAGAATTATATAAAGATAGAGGTCTATAATTTTTCTCAAATGCTGCCTGGTCAGAGAGAGGGCTTTCCTTTTTGAAATATTTATAAATTCATTAGCTTGCGTCATACGTTGTGCTTTTGTCCAGTATTTTCCTTTCTCAACCATATTTCCAGTTCCAACTTAAGACCACACCCCGGTGCTCTAGTTATTCTGGCCACATGGGTGAGAGGGTTGACCTTTTTACTAGCTGGCCAGCCTGCTTATTTCCTTCTAAGAACCCACTTTAAGGTAATCTTGTTTTATTTTCCCTGAGTCATTTAGGCATTCCCGGCAAGTATGCGGTTGAAAGCATACGCATTTAACGCCTTTAGGGGTGCCTGGCTGTCTGAGAGTATGTAAATATGCACCTTTTTTATTTTTCTTTATTAACCCCTGTGCACAGAGTTGTATTGCATGGACTTCAGCTTGGGAAATCGTTGGGGTTAGTCCAAGGGCTTGGCTAGGGTGAAGTTCGGCCCTTGTATCCCTACGCCTACTCCCATCTTCGATCCATCTGTTGGCCCCTTCTTGCGACTTGGGGCAAAAGCCGACTTATTGAATACAATTAAATTTTAAACAAATCATCCAGCAAAAACCTAAAACTAAAACGGCCTGAGGAATATATTTTTGTATATTTTATTATTCAAAGTTATTTTTCCGTCTGTTGGATCGTAAATGGGGCTATGCATCGTTATTGTCTGAAAAACGATATTGCATAAATTTACTACCAGGTAGTTAAAGAAGACCGTTAAAAAATGGCATGTTGGATGAAAAACATTGCATAAATTATTCGAGGATTTTTTTATTGTAAATTGTTTTAATTATTGATGAAGACAAACGTGTCCTTATTGTCCAACAAGGGTAGATTATTTTTTTGAAAATTTATACTATATCAACTGGCTGATAATAGAATCGGCCCCCTCTGATTAAATAAATCCTGGCAACTGTCAATAATTGCAAAGCGAGACAGGACTGTCCAGGGCAAACTCAGCCCGAAAGCGAGGCATAACTGGATCATCCGTTTTTTGTTGTTCAATGTTCGTTAACTTGTAAACTGGAAATCGATTGACTGTTTGGCAGAAGCGTATATTACCAATTGTATTGTAACCAGAAAATGTAATCACATTCATCATTATTCATTTTGCATGGACAGTTATAAAACATTACCGTTCTCTGTGAATGAGAAAATAATTTCGAATGTAAATGGAAATTCGCGCAATTTTCTATAATTTGGACTGCTTAATTTGTCAATGATGCATCTTTTCTCTGTTTGCATGTTTACGCGTTTATAGCAGACGTTTAGGCGTTGCAAAGATGGGCGAAATTTTAGCAAAATTAGAGTTTTAGGTTAGGAAAAAAATCACAGCTAAAAGAAGTTCAAATTAATTGTACTGTTTGATCGTGTATGGCATGAAGGTCTCGTGTACAAATTAAAGCGCGTCCTTCCAAACATCTTATATCTAATCTTTCGATCCTACGTTAATGGACGATATTTTAGAGTCCGGCAAGGGTCGGACTACTCTGACTACTGTCCTGTGGGAGCAGGAGTAGCAGAGGGTAGTGTGCTCGGACCACTCTTGTACCTCCTCTACACATCAGAAATCCCATCACACCTTCTACTCTCCTTGCATCCTTCGCTGACGACACAGCCGTCCTTTCCACCAATCCCGATCCTGAAAAAGCTTCGGAGGAGCTCCAATCGCAGGTACAACGGATTGCAGAATGGAGCAAATTATGGAGAATAAAAATGAATGAAAACAAGTGCACCCATATTACATTTACGCTCCGAAGCAAAACTTCTCACACAATACACCTCAACAACATCCCTATTCCCAAACTGCGTACGATACCTTGGGCTACATCTTGACTCACGACTGACGTGGAACCAACACATCCAAATAAAAAGACAGGAACTGAATAGACGATTCGGACTATTGTATAAACTACTCGGACGCAAATCTAATTTGCCAACAAAAAACAAACTAACACAGATTAGAACTGTGGGGCACCGCTAAACCTACCAACATCCAACGAATTCAACCCTTCCAATCCAAAGTCCTTAGAATTATAGTTAATGATCCTTACTATGTCTCCAACGCCACCCTTCACAATGACCTCAAAATACCCTTTGTACATAAATTAATCCCGTCCAAATTCACCCAGTTCCACGACATACTCACCCCAACCCACTAGCCCAATCCATGTCCAACAAATCCATCCCTATAATCCTTCCGCCGATTAAAGCGGAGATGGCCTCGGGACTTCCTCATCAAGGACTAACCTTGCACAAAACTGGGAGACCAACAATGGATGGCGACTCCCCTCAAGGCATGATATACAGTGTAAATGCAAATATGTAAATAACCTCAAATTACGAGATGTATATTTTATT